TACTTTCTGAACCTTAAGATGTGTTCTAGTTCTTCGCTTTCATTATTGGTCACACATTTTTTTGCCAGTGTAAAAATCTCCAATATCCATCTCAGACTCATATGCGAACCAAGGTCGCCTTCAGTTCCGTTCAAATGCAACAGCAAAAGCACCAACAGCAGCAGCAGCAGCATCGACAACAGCCGATTGCAGTTTATGGAAAAGAGTTTAGCCAGCCAAGATTTATTGGCATGTTATTCTAATTGGTATTTATTAGCGGTGGGAGCAGAGCAGCTGCCTGGCTGTCTGACAGTCAGTCATTCAGTTAGTCATTCCATTCAATCGTTCATGCAGCCATTCTCAACTTGGCAGGCCGTCAAGTGTGCAAATTAGTTTGTTTGGTTTGCATTTTATGCATGTGCTTAACCCACTTGTGCCGCTGTGTGCTCAGAATTGATCACCACCAAAAATAACTGCATATTTCTTAAATATTTACAAAATGTCAAATAACACTTTGTTTATGGTTGCCAAATAATAATTGTTAATCAAGATATCTCATTACCTAGACGGAAGTTATGTAATCTTACTTAATACCTGAATTGCTTTTATTGGCTATTAATCAAATTAAGCTGTTTTCTCACTAAAATGCAATTAACAGCTCTTAAATCTTAGTTGTGATGTAAGATTTCAGTGATTTCTTTACGTTTAAAGTCCATCATTAACACCCAATTAACAGGCACATAAATTTGAAAAACAACTTCTTCAGACTTACAGCATCGTGATAGATTTGTTTGGAGGTGATCGATTGTTATTTCCCTCCCAGACTGCATACTCATTAGTTCTGGATTACAGATCTCTCACCCATTCATCCGCAGCACCCACATCCTCACCGGCAATTCATTTCCACTTCCAACCCATTACAATCGCCCACATCGTATTCGACTGAATGCAATCCGTAGCAAAGTTAATCGATAGTCTCCATTCCTATCATCCGTTAATTGCGACTAATGAATTTGCTTACGTGTAGACAATTTTCAGTTAATATTCTAATTTGTTTTTCACGATTCAGATACCATCCTCCTCCTCCGCCGACGCTCCTCCTTCCATCCCATTTCGTAATTAGTTTCGAGAGGAAATTACAAACGACTACGCATACTGTGGGCGTAAAGCGAAAAAAATCGAAAAAACGAAACCAAATAGTTTCTAGTCTCTGGATTTTATTATTTTTTTTTTTAGAAAGAGAACGGGCCGGGATCGTAAAATGTTAGATGCTTATTTTTATAGCGGATTCTCTTGGCTATCAAAATGCCATAAACCGAGTCTGGGTCTAAGCCTGACCGCAAATCGCAGCTATTACCGCTAGAGAAACTAAATTAATATGCAGCATTTCGTGTAATTCGCCCACCAAGCCAAAACACTTCCTTAATAAAGCCCAGGGAGACCGCCAACCGCCAGCTAATGCGTGCATAATTTTTAATAAATATTTTTCAAGATCTTCACCAGCAGCTGCACCAGCAGCTGGGTCTTGGCGAGTGAGTGAGTCAAGTTAGTCAGAGGACTGCCTGCGGAGGCAGGCCAAAAACGCTTCCTGGTTTAATTAATAAAGCCACCGAGAGAGAGAGCAAGGCACCGGCACAGTCCAACTCCTGGTCAACTTGTCAATCAACACAGTGGCCAGCCAGCATAGCCATGACCATGATGATTGTGATTATCAATTTCATTATCAGGCCCAAGCTGCAGATCAACCCGAGGCAAACACTTCCGTTTTTGGTTGGGGGGCTGCTACACGCTTTTAAGGAGCAGGTCCATTGAACTCCCCTTGATGCTTCCCAACTCAATGCCTCCTCACGCAAAAGTCGTCATTATGAAAATATTTCCCCGCAACTTCAGCATCTCTCTCCGGCAACGAAAAAAGAGAAGAAAAAGCTTATCGGCTGCTGCTCAGCCAGCGCTTATGTTGCCCACGTGTCCGTCCGTCCGACGTCGCCGTCTTCGTCGTCGTCTCGGGAGCAGGTTTTTCCTTTCTGGAAATTATGCACTTTGTATGCAGAAAAGTTGGCGAGGCGATAAAAATCTGCATAATTCCAAGCCGTAAGTTTATTGCCGTTTCCTAGCGCATTCGGGTGCAAGGGAGAAAGATGCTCAGCGGGGAACGGTAGAGCAAGATAGCTAGTAAAGGAGGAAAACAGAGCCAAGAGATTTCCCCCTTACTTCTGCTTTTTGCCCTTTTATAATCGTAATCAATATTAAGTTATATGATAAATTATCGGATACCAAATTGCAGCATTTAACTTGTCAAAGGAAATTATCGGAAATTATGCTAAAAAGGGTTTCAGCGCCGCAGAAACGGGGAAATTACTTTCGGAACTCCAGACGCATAACTTAACTGTCGATTTGTCTTAAGGGTTATGAGGCTGATCGAGGGTAATGGGCCGATGTCTCAGTAAACTTGTAACAGTTGTTAATTGATTTGTTTAAGAATGTAAAGGGATTATCTTAAGAGTAATATGAGAAAGATCATATGATATTCATACCAAACCAGCTTTCTCCTGATAAACCATAATTGATTTTCACTCACTTACCACCCACAAGGCCTGCATCATGCACCCTGCAAATCTAATCAAAAAACCATAGTAAAACATAGCCAGCTAAGCACCTTGAGGCCTAACAATCAAGTTCAGGTGCATGGCCAAGAGACCCACAACAAAGCCAATCCTAATAATGTTCAAACAAAAAAGTGCCAATGCAAAGAGTCGAGACAATAAGAAATTGGCTCCACCTGCACCTGATGGCGGGGAAGTGGTTGGGGTCTTGGACTATAGAGCACGTAATTGCCCCACTGGAGGAGGCACATTATGGCGGAAAGGCAGGAAAGGAAGCAAGCAGAGCAACTGTTCTTTGTGGGTAACCCAGAGCCCAGAGCTGTGGATTTGCTAAAGGCCAGGAAAGGGGCACCACTTGATGACTGCTCAACGGAGATAAAGAACTGATGGCCAATGGAGATATTCGCCGAGAAGCTGGGAAAGTTAAGCAAAATGATACATGGACTTTAGTGAAATGGAAATTGAGTGGGGAATTAGCATCGAAAGAGGAATTTAGTAAGTGATATAAAGTTACTTTGAGGGAAGGAAGGTGATAATAAGATAATAAATAGGAAATCTAAAAATCTTAATTAAAAAAAAAAACCTTTATTATTCTTTCCTTTTTAAGCTGAAACTTGGTGAATTTTCATCATTAATTCAATTATTTTTTCACATTCGCCAAAAGAAAGTCACCGCCAAACACTGGTTAGTTGGCTGAAATTTATTTCCTTCCCATTCCCGCTCCAGCACCACAATTAGCCCCGCCCTCGATTCAAGACACTTGATGACTGCCTTCCCCGCTCGTTGAATCTGAGTGCTTTTCCAGCTTCGCACAAACACAGCTCGACTCTTGGCAGAAAACAACATCCGGTTTGAGAGCTGGAGACTGAAACTAAGACTGAAACGGCGACTGCGACAGCAACTGCTTCTGCACAAATGTTAATTAAATACCTGTCCATCTATTAAAAAACATACGTAAATTTATGTTGTTAACAAGGAAGTGCGCTCTGCGCATGCGCACACTTTTATTATTATCATCAGCATCGCTGTCTATTGCTAGAGTTTGACGGAGTTGAACGTCGCTCAGCACAGATCAGTGGAGGCAGTGTTGGCCATTTGGCCATTTGGCCATTTCTACTTGGCCAACCCACCATAACCACCTGCCTCTCCCTTCCTCGAAACCACCAAGCCACCTGTAACTGTTTGCAGCCATTTGCATATGTCGCCGAACGTTTGCGTTGCGGTTTTAACGATGCGCTGCTGTCGCCACGTCGCTACGTCATTCGCTAATTGGTCGAGATACAAATCGCCACGAGAGAGTGAAGTGACGACGTCGAAGTCCCCAGTCCATAACCAAGAGCAAGTCCAAGATCCAAGATCCAACTCCCAGGAAGAGGATGAGGATGTAGAAGAGGCGTTGCCGGTATTGACTATCAGCTGATGCAACTGCGGGTGCTGCTAACAGTACAGTACAACTACACTGTTACAAAAGTCGTAAACTAATAAGGTATCCCATAGATCATAAACCTTATCAAATATAGTTATACTCTTTACATAAGTTTACCTCTTAGATAGTTTTCTTCCTCCCTAAAAATTATAAAGAACAAATGTTGGTTTTATTTTCTTTAAGTGTATCAACTGCCAAACTGTCATCATTACCATACTCTGTCCCCTCCCCTTCGAGTCACCTTTCCCCTAGCCAACAACCTGCGGCACTTTCTTTGCCAACCGTCTAAAAACAAATCGGTGGCTGTGGTGCGTCGCCTCTGTACCGCCAGCCAGATGCTGTCAAATATTTGCTCAAGTGTTTCTGCTTTTCACACCACCCCGTCAAAGCCGCCAAGCCGCCAAGTCGCCACCCATGACCAACCCAAGCCCCTCCCCCCTACACACCCCGTTTGGGGTGGACAAGGCTGGCAATTTGCTTTATGGGATTTACTTGTAGTGGGGATAGGCGGTTTGGCATTTTTGGGAAAGTGGACATCGGAAATTTGGTTAGCCTTAATGCATTCAAGGTGTGATTTTCTTCTTTTCGTGTGCCCCCAAACGAACTGGTTCGCCAAGTGTGGAACTCTTGGGATGAGGATCTCTCTAAACAGTCAGTTTAGTGGAGAGCTCTTCCGATGAGATGCTACACTGGCAGCGGTCATTAGGTTCACCATATGTACTCGATATGAATCTAAGTAGTTTTTCCTGAACTAGTTTTTAATGGTTTTGAGTATTCTGCTTAACAAATAAAGTGGAGTTTCTAAACAAACTAGTTGGGTTGGTCTCCAAACTTTCTATCTTTAATTTGTTAAATTATAATTTATTAATTAGTCTCTTTTGTTTGTCTGACAAATGACTACTAACACCGAAAGCATTTCAAAGAACAAATCACCATGTTGTTTTTAAAGAGGTCATAAAGATATCAATACCAATATTATCATTAGAACTCACCTTTGTTCTGTACAATGGATTGCTGAAGTCCCAGTCTGGCGCCACAAATAGATATCCGCATTTGGAGACCTTTCGCGAAGCCTAAAGAAATGTCGAAAGAGAATAAATAAAAATTATGTTAATAACTTGGTTAAGCAAAAGTGTCACATAAGACTAATAAACACATTTCGATGCTGATTGGTTATGGAATATAAATTACATAATTTGGGCTTGAAAATATTTTCTACCATGGTTGATAACAAATGTTCAATAAATTACCGAAAAATACATTTAATCTTAATTAGCAAAACAAATTTATACGAAAATATCATTGGCAAAAAACCAAAACGAAAAAATTGAAAACCAACGCAGTTATCATATCTTGCTTATCGCTCTACCGAAAAAAAACACAAATTTAAATGTATTTTTAATTAAAAAATGCCAAATTTCCTAAGCCCCCTTTTTGGCTTGCTTATCGCGCACGTGTTACGTTAACAATGCCGCAGCCACACATACAAACTTTTATATAGATTTTAGCCGAACTATTCGTCTAAGCCATGACTAATGTTAATGACGTGCGCCAATTTAACTGTCTGCGTGGTATTTTTGGCTTTTTGGGGCGATAGGGGGTTAAAGCAAATAAAATAAATTACAAGTAGAAACAACAACTACAAAAACCAGACCACTGGCTGCCACACATCGGCGGGGTTTCAGGGGGTCTTGGCCTTTGCACACCTCTAGTCTAGGCTCTAAGCTGGCGAACAATAAGCGACAATTGGGCCGCATTTAAAGTGGATTTCGGTCGTTAGTCGCGCCCGCCATTAAGCTGCTGTCGGTCTCTTGTTTAGGATTGTTTTGGTCTGCTTTTCTGGTGGGTGGTGGTCTACTTGTCTATATATATAAATACTTTTTCGATTTGACAAACTGCAAATGAGAGTGCCAAGTGGGGGGATAGCTCAGTGCTCCCTGCCAATTGAACCCAACTGAACTGGCATTTAATTTGTGGCAACTCCGACGGTGGCCTTAGGTTCATCAATCAGCTGCTAATTAAAGAAAGTGAGGCAATCTTGCAATGGGCACTAATTTGTGTAGATTGGCAAGTAAAAGAAAGAAATTTAAGGAAAATAAAATACAAAATACAAAAGTTCTAAGTAAAATAAGGATAACATTATGCAGTATATTGTGCTACTTTTAAATCTTTATTTATTTTTTCAAAATTTCTTAACCTTACTCAACTGTTATTTAAGATTTTTTACTGTCACACCGTCTACATTACCAACAGACCACCAATTAAGTCACCTTTTTTCTTTGCAAATGACCAAAGCCACCTCAAATATTGCCTGGGATCCCGATTTTTGACTCGATCCCAGTCGACCCCGATCATGTCTTGTAAACCGACACCATAAAATGTTAACAAAACAATAAAATGGGAAAAACGAAATAGGAAAACCAAAGCCCAAAAACGAAATGTGTAATTCGGTAGGTAGTTCCCGGCCACTCACTCCAGAGCCTCCAGAGCTCCAAAACTAACCAACAACTTAACAAAGTTGGTCAAACGAAAAAAACATCAGATACCTCCCACTCCTCCTCCACGGAGGTCTAATCGAGGTACTCTATATACATTTTTTTATATCTCGTTTTTTTGGGCTGTCTGGTTTGCAATTACGCTGGCTAATTTTATTTATCTGGTTTGTGTTTTTCTTATTTTTTCTTATGATATTCTCTGTGGTTGCTGCTGTTGTTGGCGGTGGTGGGTCGTTTAAATGCGCCATTAACATTGATTTATGTGAAAAGTCGCACGTTTGTATTCAAATAACTTGGGGATCGAGAGCAAGAGAGAGAGAGAGAGAGAATGAGTGAGAGACTTGCAACAGTTGGCCGCAACAGTAGCTACAATTGCAAGTTGCAGTTGCAGTTGCAGTTTTCAGTTTGCAGCTGCTGTCAGGCTTTCATCAGGCTAAGCCAGTCGACACGTTTTCCACATAAATTTCAATGGGTCCGAGAAGTTAAGTGACAGAAATAGGTTCAGGTTTAGTGGGTAGCTAGGTAGCTAGGTAGCACCTTCTAACGACCCCTTTTCCGATCGTTGGCTCACACGATCACCAAATTGCGATCTACTTTTGTCACATTAATTTTGCCACCGCTAAACTGTGCGACGTGTGGCAGCGACTCCACTGGAGTACCGTTGGCCACTCGTAATACCCGTAACCACGTAGCCAACGGACTCCACAGACATTCAAACATAAATTATCAATGCCAGCCAGGTCGCTGTTTTGCTTGTTTGCAAAAAATACAAAAAAAAAAATGGAAAAACTAAACAAAAACTACAGGCGAAAAAAATAGGAAAAATTCGTGACTAAATGAGTCACAATTGTCTTCCAAATTGTGCGAAATGTTTGTCATTTTTTCTGTCCCCCAGAATAACCGATCAAAAACTACTTATATGGAGGTTATATACCCCCAGTTAAGAGTTTTTAATAATTGTTTTGGCAAGCGGTGGTTGTGGGAAAGAATTTAGTTCTCATAAGGTCAATCATGCACTAAGATTAAGATTATAGGTTCACCTTTTACACAGTGTAAGCATTTAGTGCCAATTAAGTTTAACTATTTAAATTACAGCTTTGAGAAGATTACAAGTGGACGATATGTAAATTATTGCAAATCTGTTAAACCAACAAAAAAGTCAGAAAAATGAAGGTTAGGTAGTTTGGAAGTTACTAGTTAGATATTACTAAGAGTTAAGTTAAGTTTAGAGTCTTAATTTAAAGCCAGCTTTGAAGAATTAACCCCACCCAACTTCTGTTTTTAGGGTATTTCGAATCAAAACCAAGCCATATGCTGAATATTTATGCATGTCGCTGCTGACACACAAATGGGAGAAAATGGGGCGTAGTAAGCGAGGGGCGGTGACAAGGGTTAGCTGCGCGTGCAGAATTTTGAGTGAGCCTCTGGGATAATGGGCGTGGCTACGCCCACGACTGCCGGCAGCTAATGAAGCAAAGTGCGCCGTGCAAATGTGGTCTGAATAAGACCAACTGATTGATCACGCCGAGTGAGTAACTCAGTCAGTCTCAAATACGAATGCTAATGACAAATCAAAAGGTTTTGACTGTTCGAGAACTGGCTCCCAAGGTAAAGTAAGGCTTTTTGGGCAATTTGTTTTCCAACAGCTCTTAATTGAAAACCATTACCAATCAGAAGGTTTTGTTTTTTTAAGGCTGAAACTACTTTATTTGCTATTTTAAGTCACTACAAAGTGTTGGTTTTATAAATAGAATAATTTGAGACAAAGGTTTTTATTGATTGATATAAATAAACATCTGTAAAATAAAAAGTTATTATTGAAAAATATGATATATATGATAAAGTAATGTTTTTCAAGTTTACATTTTGAAAAATATAAAAATTTAAACAAGAATTTCTAATGAGAAACCAAACCTTGGCTATATATGAATAAATCACATACAGAAAACACTGGATATGAAGTCATGCAAACGCAATTATGTATGACAGAGAGGCACAGGTAACGATATATTCGATCTTAGCTCATACTTATCCGCAATATATACTATAGAGTATGCAGTCTTATACTTACTGGTTCTGCCAGATTCGACGTGGAACGCTATTGCGCAAGCGTGCAAGATACGAATAGAGAATGCATTCGGTTAGTTGGTGAATTAAAAGAGTTAATGGAAAAGAGAAGGGGCGATGAAGAAGAACCAAATGACTCAATTAGCAGCGGGGAAGATGTCTCAGATGAGGCAGATGCATTTTGACATTTAGCCATATCCGAGATGACATTCAAGACGCTCGAGATGGGGCCGAGCCCGCAACTTACCCCCAGCTGCATCGGCCAAATGAATTTAAATTGCATGAGACCGACTTGTTTTCGATTTAATTTGATAAGAAATAAAAACCTAAGGAGAGAGACGGGTCGCGGTCGGCGTCGTCATCGCATACTTATGACTGTGAAATGTCAAATCAAAAGTCACGTTTTTCACTCACTGCCGAGCAGCTACTAGCTGATTTATTGGCAGCAGTTGGGGCTATTAACTGAATCCGTACCACTGGCCATAAATCGGAGCCAAGAGCTTTGGAGCTGAGAGCTTCACTTGCAGTGTTGTGGAAAATTTCACTTTTGCTGCCGCAGCGGCTAATAAGCCAAAAACCGATTGACAAATAAACAATTTGTGGCATCCCCTCCACATATCACATATCTATCGTTATATATATAGATATACGTATATATATATATATATATATCGCGTTTAGTTAGTGAGCCGCACGCACACGTGGATCATGTCCAAGTCCAAGTCAAAGTCAAGTCAAGTCAAGTCCCAAACAAACCAGCCGCTTCAACTTCGAGTTGGAGTGGAAAGTTGTTTGCAGCTTCAATCTCGTCGAATCTCTTGGGCTTTTAACTCAATTTCAGCCCCAGCTCTAGCTGCCTAGCTTTGTTTGTTTATTTATTTTTGTTTATTTATACATGTGTATTTTCAATCTTGCCATTGCAGTTGTTGTTTCGCTTCAAGTTTCTAAGTTGCGGCTTAATAGGCAAGCCATTCGACCAACATCCTCAACCGCAAAAACAACAACCACAGCCACCGACTAACTCATCATTAGCCACCACATCCATCCAGTTGGAGTTTAGGTGGCAACAGGTTTTTCAACCGACCCCGCATGCTATAAACAATTTTTGGTTTTCTGATCACTAACTTCTGCAAAAGTTACCGAATAGTTTTTATTTCGAATTTGATAAAGCCATTAAAGTCAAATATTATAATTAAAACACGCGCCCAACATTGCAAGTTGTTAAACAATAAAAGTCGCATGATTAATGTTCTTTAATCATAAACAATCAGAAAGGCTTATTTTTTAGGTTTATTGATGCGCCTTTTAATAGAATCTCAATGAAACTTCCAATCACTTCCGCAGAACTTTAAGCAATATGTTAATTAAATGAATTCCCTTGAAAAAAAAATAAATAAAAAACTGCTGGATAATCCCAAGCTGCTTGAAAATTCCCAAACCCAAAAGCGATTCTTCAGAAAGCGAAATCTTTGCGGCTTTTGGGAATTTCTTTTGCATAATGCTGTATGGGACATGAAAATTACATGCCATCAATTCTTATAATTGAACCATCAAATTGTTAAGTGGAAGTCTGGGCCTTTGTCATACGGTTTGTACCTTCAGTAAAGTGGGCCAGCGCGATCGAGAAAAACAAGATTGAGTGAGACAATTGGAGTTACTTGACTTGGCCATCATCAATGAATGAAAACCATTTTTTTTTTTAGCAGTAACAGTCATTTTTCCGGTTATAAATCGTATCAATCAATCGATTGCGATGGGGAGGTTACCGAGGAGCATAATTAATGTGTGAGAACAACTTTCTTCGCTGACCATGAATCGAAGCGTTTCAGTGGCTTGGCATCCGACTCCGAGCTGAAATAAAAATGAAAGTGGCCCTCGAAAATGTTGTTGGCCAAAAGGGCCGTCGCCGATCGTAGGTCCGATTAAGCCAATGATGGCTAATCTCTGGCTCATTCATAAGTATAAGTAAGGCTACCTACCACCACGCATGGCGGCGTCTCCACCGACATGAAATATGATTAATAAGTTTCGCACGATTATTAAGTCCCCCCGACTCCGATCAAAATGTAAGAGACAGCAGGCTGGGAGAAGAAAGTGGTTTGCGATCTGGCCAAGACACAGGTTGATTGACTTCAAGAGGGCAGGGATAAGGGTTAATGCCATGGGCATATTTATAAACTTTTTTGTGGGTAGGCTTTACTAGTACGGGAGTTGGTTTGAAGTAAACAAAACTGCAGGTAAATGTACTTTACATATACCAAAAGTTTATTGAACTAATATTTAAATACCATAAAACCATAAAGCCAAATAAACTTCCTTCCCACCTTGATTTCCAATTTAAAAACATAACTTGCTAATTGCTTTCTATTTTCTTAAGCAATATTTATTAAGACATATCAAAAGCTACGGTACCAAGCACCATAAACACCTTTGACAACTTATTCAAGGGTATGGAAATCGAAAGTACAAAAGAAATCGAAAGCGAAACTGCGCAACAGTACAAACGAAACTTGAACAGCAAACCGAGAGACGAACATCAAGTGCAACAAACCGATGAACCGTCGAGCTGCGAAGGGGTCGCCGTGGCTTGGGGAGCCACCGAAAAGGTGCAGAAGGGGAGGGGGCCGTGTGGCAAGTGCATGGCACGGCATGGCATGAAAATATGGTGTGCTATGGCACTGGGTAGCAAGTGTGACTGACCAGCAGCTCTGAGAGAGGCGACTGCAGTTGGAAATGAAAGCGAATGTCGTCGTTTTAGCGGTTGTGTGTCGACGGTTTGGTGCACTGAGAAAAATAGTCTCTATCAGATTAGTTACATATTATAAAAAGATTTTGATGGAAAGTTCGTATGCATTAAAGATATATAAATATTTTATAGGGAATTTAGTTTTACTAAGTATAAGTTCGATTAAAATTTTAAGTTTAATAAATAGGCGTACTTTAGTATATAATTTATCTTATACAAAAGTTTTTAAAATCATTTCATAAAAGTATATTATGATCCCTATCATTACTACGAATTTTGTCTATGTGTATTCGCTTGATCATCGCCTGCGGTGCGCGGTCGCGCTTCAAGCTCCATTTACGAAAAAAAAGCGGATCGAAGCGAGGGCCAAAGAGATCCAACTATATAGTGAAGAGGAAGGGTAGAAGAGGGGCCGGCAGACAGTATGTCTGTTTGTCCGATCCGATCCGATCCGGAACCGCTGGCAGCGATCGAATCCGATCCGAGGCGAGTCAACGTATCCCAACATCCGACCAGTTCTGCATTGCATGCCAAGAATTTCGCCTGCATCGCCCAGCTCACAGTGGGAAAGTTTTTTTTTTTTTTTAGGCGCAACTTTGTGGCGCGGCCTCGGGAGTTATTAACATAACATAATATTGACTTCGATGGGCGTTCGGCGGGGCCATTGTGTAATATTTAAGAAAAACAAAAATGAAATAAGAAATATTGGAAATTTTCGACTTTTTCCGCCTCTCTTCCTCATTTCTTTCTTTTCCCGGTTTCACTTTCGTTGGCCGCTCTGTGGGCAGTGCATGTGTGCATCATGCTGAGTGGGAATGGAGCCGACTCCGATGAGATCACCTGCATGGGTGACATCGTTTAGGCCCGGTAATTAGTCACCATTATGAAGTGGAGAAAGGGTGGCCTTAATAATGTGGGCATTGGGAATGGCATATAGGAAAGTTATTTAAAAAAAACAACGTATAGGTAAGGTGCTTTATGAGTTTTATCGATAATAGTTAATAGGCAATTTATTACAAGAAATCTTTGAATGTGTAAATAGAGGAAATAACACCAAAATTCGCTCAGATTGAAGCTTACAAAATTGAATTTCTTTTTTCTAACGTTTTTAATATTTTAATAGCAAATAAAACCCTTTTGTCTTGCCTCCATTATTACACCACTCTCACTTACAAATCATAAACAAACTGAACAACAATACCCCTATTTAAGCATCTTAGAAAATCACAAGAAATCTAGACCCCTCCTTAGATCTCTTTGTAATAAGTCTAATTGCGATTTCCGTCGATTTTCACATTATTGCAACCTCAATAAAAGACCAACCGCAAAATCAAATTACACAGCCATAAGGCAACAATTAAAGCCAAGATTACAATTGCTAGAAAAGGAAATCTCGACCAGACCAAACTAATTAAAACTCCGCGGGTAGGTCGTAAAAAGCCAAACCAAACAACTCATAAAGAAGTGAATTAAATAAATGAAATAAAAATCCAGTCATCCAGGCGGTGACCACACACAAAGCCAAAGGAAAACGCAATCCTTTTTTTCGTTTTTTGTTTTTTCTTAGAAATTACAATAGAAAAAACTGTCAGAAATTGATTTCCAAATGGGAAAACAACGCACGGGGCAGCAGCAAATAAAAAAAATAAGACAAAAAATTACAAAACAATAGTTTAAAGGCAACATTTCACTTTCAATGAATAAATGGTGAGGCCAGAAGGTGAAGAAGGGCGATGAGGAGGCGGAGGAGGAGGCTTTTATTGGTAGCTTCATCATCTTTCGCATCTGGAGAGACTTCTGCGTGGATGGATGTGGATGGGGATGTGGATGTGGATGTAGATGCTGCTGGTGGTTGCCTCTTCATTTGAAAGCTCAGCATTTGAAATCGACGTCCGATGGTGGAAAATCGTGCACATGAATTTCAGTAAGTAAAAGTAAAAATCACCTTCAACGTTTTTGGCTTCTTGTGCGCCACAGCAGCAGCAGCATATGTTTGCATTTGATTGTGTTTCTTTTTTTTGTTTCTTTGATTTTTATTTTTATTGCCGCACATGAGTTTGCAAGTTGCCGGAGACTCAAACTCAACTCAACTCGACTCCGTTCCGACTTTTGGGCGATAGACATCGCACATACACTCGCTCGCACAGGTCGTGTCTGGCGACTTCATGTTGGCAGTCCAACAAAAGGGGGGCAGACGGTATTACAATTCATTTAGAAATGCATTTAAAAATACATAAAATACTCTATCCATCGGCGTGGAGTGAGGTGAGTAGGGGAAAGGGGAG